TTGCTCACCCGAATACGACTATGTAGTGTATAATTAAATTTAACAATCGAAAACTTAAAACATCTATAACAGGAAAATGTCACGAAAATATACGAAAATATTTGGTAATGCAACACTTGTAAATGTATTTTTCTTGTAGTAATAAAAATGATCTTGCTTCAATAAATGTTTTTAACTTATAAGTATGTACATGATGTTAATAAATGATAATGAGTATAATAACAACCAAAACAATTTTATTCCCGAGTTCGTGCAACCCCTAGCATATTTACGACGGCGTAAAAAGTAAATACCTACACGGGCGGCGGCATCGACTGACATCAAAGGCCTTTCCAAACTGTATACTATCTTTAAACTGTGGTATAACCGCCGGTCTAGCCGTCCAAATAAGTGAGCTGTGACTGCGATATTACATACATAATAATGAGAAAACAATGTCTATACAGGTTTTCTCTCAGTTCTGAGAGGGTTGTCAAGCAATATAAACTAAAATACGGCCGACGTATCTTGGCGAGTCCGACCTTCGCGCAGAAGGTTGCGCAATAGCTTTTTTAAGGAACAAAATGGTGGCATGAGGCGACGTACGGGGGGCGGTGGTCTAGGCTAGAGATTGACCATAAGTAAACACAATCGACCCTTTAGTCATAAAATATCGCAATCGATTAGTTTTATTTAGAAGTTATTGATTTTTGTTTATATAAGATATTAAACGAAATAGATTTACAAATATAGTGAATTTTGTTGATAATAAACAAGATTTCGACTTAAATAAAAAAAAAAAACTAAAAACATATTATTTTCTCAGCTGAAAGACATAATGTACTTAAATATCAATTATCTATTAACGTCTTCTTGAGTAACGACTATTTGAGAAAATTTAGAACCTCCTTATAAATTGCAAATAAATATATTTTTATGTCTTAATTTTAATCGATTTGAATAAAAATCGATTAAACAACACCCTCAGGCACGCGTGTTGGACATCCCTTTCTGGTTACTTCGTAAAGCTTCGTGCTTATTCGGCAATGCTCGGTACACGGTAATATTTCTCAGTCACACGTTAGCATTGGTGTCGTGTTCGTGTCGCTATCTCTGTCTTGAGCACAGTCGGTTACAAAAGTTTTCGTTGTTATTGTTGTTTGTTTTTATTAATAGTGTTAAGTTTGTTTTGTTTGTTTTATTTGTTTTATTTGTTTTATTTGCAAGTGTCAGTTAGCACTTATATTATTCGCCAAACATGCCACCAAAACATAACAGTGTGTTAAATCGCCAGGCGAGAAAAATTATTTACGATTTAACGCAATATATGAAAAAAGAAAAAGAAGAAGGCGTAAAAGATGTCGATAAAGTTTATTTAAGAGTTGCTAACGCAACTGGTGTGTCCCAACGCACAGTACAGCGGATCGCAACTGAAGGCAATATTTCGGGCTTACTTTCAGTATTCCGCACGCCTGGTAAAAAAAGGTCTAGATCAAAACCTATTACTGATATGGATAATTTTGACCAGGGAGTAGTAAAAAGATGCATACACAACTTCCACAAAACTGAAAAAGAAATGCCGACGATAAACAAATTACTAGCGAAACTCAAACGGGATATAAATTTTCAAGGTGGTAAAACGAGCTTAAAGACAATTATCAAAAACTTGGGTTTCAAGTGGCGAAAGACCGAAACCAATAGAATGGTTCTTATAGAGAAGACCGACATTCGCCTGAAAAGGATCTTGTACTTGAAGGCAATGAAAAAATACAGGGACGAAGGGCGACCAATTGTATTCACTGACGAGTCGTATGCCCACTCATCACATACAAAAGGTAAGGCGTGGTCAGATGGTTCCGCTCAAGGACTAAAGCGCCCGATATCAAAAGGTCAGCGGATAGTGATGGTACACGCTGGGTCAGAAGCAGGGTTTGTTCCGAACGCGCTACTAATGTTCAAATCTGGCAGCAAAACCGGAGACTATCATGATGACATGAATTTCAAAAATTATGAGAAATGGTTACGGACCCAACTGATTCCAAATTTGAGCCCTAACTCGGTGGTGGTTATCGATAATGCTCCGTACCACAACAAATTAATGGATCCTGCCCCTACATCTAATGACAAGAAGGCAAAAATGGAATCGTGGTTATTAGAAAAGGGTATACCATATGAAAAGGACATGCGTAAACCACAACTTTACGATCTAATAAAAAAAAACAAAGACGTGAATAAAAAATACGTAATAGATGAAATGTTTAAACAAAACAACCACGATGTCCTTCGTTTACCCCCATATCATCCCGATTTAAACCCCATCGAGATGGTGTGGGCTGCCATTAAAGGGCACGTAGCCGCTAAAAACGTCGACTGGAACGTAACCCGGACAATGGAGCTCATACAAGAAAAAGTAAATTTAATGGGTCAGAATGAATGGAGTGCTTTATGCAGAAAAGTGCAAGAGGTCGAACATGACTATAGGAAGAGCGACCATATTATTGACGAAATGACGGATCAATTATTCATCATTAATACAGCTTCAGATTCAGAAAGTGAGTCTGAAAGTGAGAGCGACGATTACGAAGATGAACCTATGCCAAGTACCTCACATGGTACACAAGGGGCCGACGACTTTATGTTAGGAATTTCCCCCCTCAGCGACAGTGATTAAATAATAATAAGTGTAAATAAATAAAAAGTATTAAATGTAAATAATATTGTATGTGTTTGTGATAAAATCTGCCCCTATCGAAAGGTGAGGTATCAAAATTGAATCTTTAATTTATAATGTCTCCAAAGTGTTTTGATATTTTTGGTCACTGTATTAGGGAAATTTTATTTGTACATTGGTATATATAAAAAAATGACAATAACAGTTTTCTTCACGAGTGTTCATGCGCTAAACTTCGCAGAGCCTATATTCAGACTCGCCAAGATACGTCGGCCGTATTATATACTAATTAACATTTTTATTTACTTTCAATGAAATAATACTTATGATCGGAGTTTTTGCGAGAACTTAACCACAATCGGATTGTTGCACCTGTGTCTACTATCCATTAAATATCCTATAATATATCCTATAAAAGTCCACCGCTGAACATAGCCACTCGCTAACCTGATTGCCATAGTTGCCATACTCCTGCCCATCTCCTGTTTCAGTTTTCCTTTGCCACCTCTCACGACACCCTCGGGACGATATGGAGTAGTGGATACTCTTACACCGCCGCTACACGGTTGTCTACCATCGTTTAAATAATATCTTTAAGTGGATTTGATAAGCAACACCGATGCCATTGTGGGTATTTAAGATCTACACATGTGAACAGTTAATGTAAACATTAAAACAATTACCCCGCGGTAATAACCTTAAAATATTTTGAAATTTTAGCACCTTGAGACGTTATCGTCATTGACTTACTATGCTTGGTTATAATGTAGTCAAAATCTTTGCAAAATCATTTCAGTAATTGGTATCTTCTTAATAACTGAAATCCTTGTAGATAATTATTTCTTTTAAAAAAAAGTTACCCCTATACTGGGATATTCTCGTGTATAGCGGAGGCAGTTGACATGCATAAATTGCACAAGGACAAAAATCTAAACCCGGAAATTTTTTTTTAACAAATACTTGTTCCGTGCGAGATTCAAGATCCGCGGTCCTCAGCGACGCAACTCAATACCAAGCCGACACAGAGCCGTCCTAATACCACACTAAGTGTAAAAACTGATGATATCGATTTCTTCCTGGTAGGATTCCGTCATTACTGCTTTGGTATGACATGACAACGTACTAAGACTTACAGTGACAGTGTCAATACGGTATTTTGTGAGAATCAATGTTGAAGATCCATGTTTAGCAATGGACTTGCGACGAGCCGTAATGGTGATGATAATATTTTCATTAATTTTCAAAAGTGGATGTCATCTGCAACTAAAATATTATATGCAGCGCGTGTTCACACAGGCGCGCATTCGTTGTTGAATACTATTATAGAATATGTGAATATTAAAGAGTAATATATAATAAATATAATATGACCCATTTACTGGTAACAAGTCTTCAGGGGTGACAACGCGTCTACATTTTGATTCTGAATCAAGGACAGATATAAACATTTATGTGCCACAGCATTCCATTACCATCAGTTCAACTGTGTCCTCGCTGTCACCCTTATTCTACGAAAAAAATACTTCAAGGGATCTGATCTTGGACTTTCATATTACGATCAACAGGAACCAATACAGTCTAAGAGTACATTATCCGTCACCGTACGGATTGATAACTTCATAGTAATGACTTCCGGTTGGAATTTCGTACACCGGAAACGGAAATTACATTTTTCTTTATATTTCCCATGTCTAATTTACAAAAATTAGCGCCACATTTTATAGTGTACAACTACAAACGAACTGTTTGTAACTTTTGACGACTCCGTGGCGCAGTGGCTTAGCAACTGAGTTGCAGCGCTAAGGACCGTGGGTTCGAATCCCGCACGGAATAAGTATTTGTATGGTCTACAAATAATTGCTCCGGGTCTCGAATGTTTGTCCTTGTGCAATTTATGTTTGTTAACTTACGTTTTTTTTTAAAGAAAAAAGAAAGTTAAAATTAAAAAAATTGTCTAAACATTTTAACAATGATAATAATTAATAACTTCTTATTTAGGTGTTTAATCTAGTCATAAATCATCAAATTTTATACTTCATGTACTTGTCTACAAGCTATATAATATATCTTTCTTTATTAGTACAATCTAGCATTTGTGTTAACTTATTTCTCACGCAAATCTAAAGTTTAAGAGCACTTCACAATATTTTGTTGCCATCAACAAAATAATCAATTAAAAACTAATTTTATATGCAGTCGACTTTACTTAAAATTTGTAAGTGTTTATCACCACGTTAAATCTATTATTACATAATAATGCTTAGAAAAAAATTCATAAGTTAAATTTACTAATGAAAACTAACATTAAATAAGCAATTTTACTTCCAACACTAAGTTTGATTACTAACTGCTAATCAGGTGTTCTAGTTCCAGGCGGTTCGTCACCAAAACAATGCTTGTGCGCCGGGTCTCTGTATGAGTTCTCATGCAACACACTGTGCGAACTAGTGCGGCATTTAGTCAGGCACAGCTCGTAGTCGTCGGTTAATGAACGAAATAACACATTCTCTTCTGCAGAAAGTTTCGACAAAACTAACTCCAGCATGTCCCTCTGAAAAAAAAAATTAAAATGCTTAAATGAAAGCCTAACTATATAACAAAGTTTTTTTAAATTTATGTAGAGGTTCTGCTAGCTGACCTGAAACGAATTCTTATACAAGGAATCATACATACACACATACATAAACTATTACGCCTGTTACTCAGAGGGGTAAGCAGAGACAACGGTCTTCACTCTGGAACAATCTTGACACACCATTCTCTTCTTTAACATCCATTTATCTATGCATACATGCTATCAGTTAAGGTTAAGGGTACACTTAATTTGGCTAAGTAAAAACTTTTCTATTATAATAATGTCCTCCAGACCGAATTCCGGCCACGGCGGCTTATCTCTCTTCACAAGACAGGATGCGCAAGCACATGGTACGGTTGCTATTCCTTCACTCTCATAGCTCATTCGTATAGCATTCCCCAACACGATTGGAGAGAGATCAGGAGTAGCGTAGGACCAACAGCTTTAAATGCTTTCCGTTGCATGGGGATGAAACATCATCGAATTCCTAACACCGGGCCGCTGCTACAATAACTGGTTTTGGCGCAACCTGGGAATACAAAACCGCGACCTCATGATATGACCGGGGAATCACTCGGTCCATAACACCTATAATTTTTGTATATTTTTATCTTCTACATACCTTATATGGTATCAGGGAAGAAAATTATGTCTTAAATTCTTTAAATCTCATGTCTGTCATAATACAATTGTAATCCTTGCACAGTATTCAAAATAAATTAATTAAATTATAAAATAAAGTCACTATTTATTATTTAACTATTGCCATGACTACTCAGAAGATAGAAGAAGAAGAAGAAGCTATTATGATAGATGATATTATTCTTTTCAAGCAAGGGTATAATACCCGTATAAATGAAATAAAGAATACTTTGTTTTAACATCTAGCTCTTCAGCTCTATCCATTAGTGTTATAAATATTCAAGCCAGTGGTAAAGAGTCACTTGCTTCCTTGGAAGGAATCGGTGTTCTTTAGCAAGGATTTGGTCTATCAAATCTAATGTAGTGACGGGGCGACGTGATTTTACGTCGGTTTTCTTTTGGTACCATTACAGCCTATTAAATTCCACTGCTGAACATAGGCCTCTCCTATATATTTCCTCATGGGGGAATATTTGACATAGTTGCCACGCTTGGCAAGCGGGTTGGCACCCGCAGTTTTTTATTTTTAGTAGTTACTTGGAAGACGTGTAGTGGCGGTCAAGAATATCCACTACCCCATATCTTCCCGTGGGTGTCGTAAGAGGCGACAAAGGGAAACAGGCAGGAGATGGGCAGCAGCATCTTCCTGATAGTAGCCGAAATTACAATAAAAAAAACTGCGGTTGCCAACCCGCTCGCCAAGCGTGGCAACTATAGCAAATACCCCCCTATGAAGAGGGTAACAAAGAGACGGCCCCCGGTTCCCGGCGGTCCCGCTATTCCTGGCTACGGTGGCGACCATGGTAACGGCGGGGCAGGGGGTGCTAAGAATCTCCGGTGGAGCTTCGGTTGCCACCTTAGACGACTCGATCTGGCAACGTACAACGCACGCACCCTGAGGACTGACAAGAAGATCGTGGAGCTGGAAGAAGAGATAGACAAGTTACGCTGGCATATTATAGGATTATCCGAAGTCCGAAGAGAGGGGGAGGACACGGTAATCCTCGAATCCGGCAACTTGCTCTACTACCGGGAGGGCGACCATCTGTCCCAAGGTGTCGGATTTATCGTCCACAAGTCTCTCGTTAACAACGTTGTAAAGATCGGGAGTGTGTCGACGAGGGTTGCGTACCTTATACTCAGAATCACCAAACGATATTCGCTGAAGGTCATACAGGTTTACGCATCAACCTCGGCACACCCCGATGAGGAGGTGGAGGAAATGTATGAGGATATCTCTAGAGACATGCATTCCTCCAAAACCCAATATACGGTGTTAATGGGAGACTTCAATGCAAAACTAGGCACAAGAGAGAATGGTGAGCTGAAAGTAGGCAAATTTGGAATAGGGCAACGGAACCCAAGGGGCCAGCAGCTGGCCGACTTCATGGAGAAAGAGGGACTCTTTATGATGAACTCTTTCTTCCAGAAGCGGCCCCACAGGTAGTGGACCTGGTCGAGCCCCGACGGTTCGACAAAAAAATGAGATTGACATCATTATGACCACCAGACGACAACTGTGCAGTGATGTCTCCGTGATCGCGAGGGTGAAAACTGGTAGCAATCACCGAATGGTTAGAGGCACACTGAACCTAAACGTTAAGTTGGAGAGGTCTCGTCTAATGAAGTCAATAGTCCTGAAACCTTTCAGCTCGAGTTACAAAACCGTTTTCAGTGCCTAGAAAACTGCAATGAAGTGGACGATATGAATGACAAGCTCGTGGAAACTGTCCATGCGGTCGGAGCTAAGTTCTGCAAGGCCCGCCGCAGAAAAACACAAAAACTCTCCGATCACACTCTTAATCTCATGGCTGTTAGACGGAAGATGAAGCTACATTCTTCAACAGATTTGACAGCATACAGGCAACTGAACAGACAGATCTCCAAATGGATGCGGCGGGACTTACGTAACTTCAATACAGCTTGTATTGAAGAAGCGATCGAGCGGAACCAAGGCTCCAAAGTCTTTGCCAGAGATCTGTCTGCCAGAAAGAGCCAACTGTCAGAGCTGAGGACCGAGTGTGGCAGCATCGTTTCCGGGGCACCTGAGATTTTGAGTGAGATTGAGAGGTTCTATGGGCAGCTGTACACGTCATCGTTGGAGCCACACGCAAGTGTGAGTAACGATCCAAGAGCCAGTCTTATCCGACACTATTCCGAAGATATCCCGGACGTCAGTCTGAGTGAGAATAGAATGGCAAGGTCCCAGGTGAGGATGGAATTACAGCGGAGCTTCTGAAAGCGGGTGGAAAACCGGTACTTGAAGTCCTTCAGAAGCTCTTTAATTCCGTCCTCCATGGTGGCATTACACCGGAGGCGTGGAGCAGAAGTGCGGTGGTCTTGTTCTTCAAGAAAGGTGACAAAGCTCTCTTGAAGAACTACAGACCGATTTTCCTTGTGAGCCGCGTCTACGTGCTGTTTTCGAGAGACATTACGATTCGTCCCGCGCGCAGACTTGACGACTTCCAGCATCCCAAACAAGCCGCTTTCCGAAAGGGCTTTAGCACCATAGACCACATACATACCCTTCGGCAAGTTGTACAGAAGTCCGAGGAGTACAATTTGCCACTATGTATGTGGACTATTAGAAAGCCTTTGATTCCGTCGAAATTTGGGCGGTGCTGCAGTCCCTTCAGCGGTGCCAAGTTGACTGTCGGTATATCGAAGTGCTGAAGTGCTTGTATAGTAGGGCTACTATGGCTATCCGAGTACAGAACCAGAGTACGAAACCTATCCAATTGCAGAGAGGTGTAAGACAGGGTGACGTTATAGCCCCGAAACTCTTCACCGCTGCATTGGAAGACGTTTTCAAGCTTCTGGACTGGAAAGGATACGGTATTAACATCAATGGTGAGTACATCACTCACCTTCGATTTGCCGACGATATAGTCCTTATGGCAGAATCGCTGGAGGATCTAAGGACCATGCTCAATGACCTCAATAGTGACTCCCAACGGATAGGTCTTAAGATGAACATGGACAAAACAAAGATCATGTTCAATGTCCATGTCACACCTATGCCGGTAAATGTTGGGAGCACTAAGCTCGAAGTTGTTGACGAGTTTGTTTACCTGGGACAAATAGTCCGACTAGGTAAGTCCAACTTCGACTGAGAGGTCAATCGACGGATTCAACTCGGCTGGGCAGTGTTCGGGAAACTACGACACATCTTCTCGTCAGACATTCCTCAAAACCTTAAAACGAAATTATACAACCAGTGTGTGTTGCCAGTGATGACTTACGGATCTAAGACGTGGTCCTTCACTGCTGGCCGTATGAGGAAGCTCAAGGTCGCTCAGCGAGCTATGGAGAGGGAAACTTAGAAATGAGGATATCCGCAATAGAACCAGAGTGACCGACATAGCCCAACGGATTAGTAAGCTGAATTGGCAGTGGGCCGGCCATATAGCGCGAAGAACCGACAACCGATGGGGAAGAAAGGTTCTTAAGTGGCAGCCTCGTAGCGGTAGGCGAAGTGTAGGGCGACCCCCCACGAGATGGAGTGACGACCTGGTAAGACATGCACGAAGTCTTATGAAAGGCTGTAATGATGAATACTTGGAAGACGCTGCTGCCCATCTCCTGATTTGTTTCCCTCTGTCACCTCTTACGACACCCACGGTATGATATGGGGTAGTGCATATACTTACACCGCAACTACATGGTTCGCGTATATAATATTTGCGAATCGCATATATATAATGTATTAACTTATTTTAAATTAGTATGTAATAGTCAATGTTCCTCTCAAATGTGGCAGTTATGACAATAACCACAAATTAAGGTGAGGTTTATAAAAGGTTTTGTTTAGATGGATAATAAATAAAATGTGAAATAATTACCTTGCTTGGATCTAAGCAACATGAGACACAGTATTCATAAATAACACAACAATTGTTATCTTTACATGTTTCACAGCTGTATCTAGTTGTAGCCTCGGCTTCTGTATTACAACAACCAGTTTTGAATAGATCCTTCCTCCTGCATACATAACCTGAAAAAATTATTTAAGCAGTTTATAATAAACTGCTTAAACTGCTTATTTATACTACTACTACTTACACATTATACGTAACAGACTTTTTATAGAATAAGGGTGAAAAATGAGCACACAAACCACCTGATGGTAAGTGGATGCTGTGGCCCATAGACATCTACATTAATCCTTAGTTAAGAATCAATATGCAGATGCGCTGTTACCCCTGAGGAATAAAATGGAATGCCTTATTTCTGGTAAAAAAGGTATCCGGTTCTTTACACTCACCACACGAAACAGCATCATGAAGCTACTATATTACGCTGGTATTCTGTGAGAGCGTGGTCTGTCCCTAGTCGAGCCGACACATTCATGCTACAACCATAACCAATTTATTACAAAGTTCTCATCCAGGTTGCAGCCCTAATATTTCAGAAGATTAATGCTAGTGTTTGCTTGTTGTTAAAATTGGCAGGTTTAATGTGAGTACTTTATGATTTTTTGAGACTATCAACCAACCAATTGTGTTTACGACAACGACGATTTTTCAAGTGTTAGAAGAGTCAAGAGTTCGATAAAGAAGAGTCAAAGCTTCTTTGGTTGTCAACATTATATATCACTTATCCAAACATAGTAACAAAATCAAACTTCCTGAGAAGGGTATTAATTAGAAGAAACAGAAAGGGACCGAGAATTGAGCCCTGAGGTACGCCCATTTGTACTGTCGACCCAGAAGAACTCATAATGCTTATAATAACTTTTTGCATTTTGTTATTTAAAAATGAAATAAATAATTTAAGAGCATAACTTCTTATACTATAGTATTATTAGTACTATAGTACAACTTAGCATAAGGAAACTCCCTTAAGCTAAGTTGTGATAGTACTCATGGTGAACACAATCAAAGGCTTTGAATAGATCACAGAATATACCAAAAGCACCCTGTAAATTCCGCAATGCATTGAAGGTATTTTTAATCAGCTCTACACCAGCATCAGTTGTCAAGAGATCCCTTGTGAAATCAAATTGATTTTATAAAGTAAATTATTTACATTAAAAAAAGTAACATTTCATCAAAGGATAATTTCTTAAAAATGATAAATTTATCGTGTTGGCAGTTCAGAAATAGGTCTAAAATGGGGGGGTTATCAAATGCATTACCTGATTTAAATAAATTGGTATTAAAGTGCAGAAGATATCATTATGTCTGTCAAAAATTAATAAGAAAACATCTTATAGTTATAAATGCTAACTAGATTTACCTATTACGCTAAGACTATTTATTTTGTTCCATGTTTCAATTATATGATATGATCTCTTTTTAACATTTTAAAAATATACAAGTTATGTTTTCAACATTATTGTGTTATTGAGAAAGTTAATAAAAGTTTGATAAAATATATTTGTGTTATTTTTATTTTACCTATACAAAGAAGGTGGAAGTATTTTTAAGCAAATACTTAATAAAATTAGGGCAAATCATTAAAATTGGTGAAAAAAATGTGGTTAAATCCTGGTCATGATGACCCAGTGACTACACTGCTTAATTACTTTTATGTGATTTGTGCATTTATTAAGAATGATGTAAGTCTTTAAAAAAACTGAAGACTGCTCAATGTATAAAAGCCATTCTAAAGAAAGAGAAGAAAACGTGACTTTTTACAATTTTCTTCAACAGCCAGCTACAGGGCTAAGTACCTTGGATTGCCAAGGTCTCTCCCCAAGATCATTGGTTTGTTTAATATCCGCCCACACACAAAATACACACTTAAATGTGGAGTTATGAGCCCCTGTGGAGTCCGGCTCAAAAAAAAAAAACATACACAACTACATTAACTATTTATGGTATTACATTTACCTCTATCATCTACAATAGTTAACTTTCCCTGTACAGAGTTTCTGCAAGTTATCAAATTATTTGTATCATTATGTTCCTGAAGAGTTCTCCAAACAAAAGGTTTTTGTTCTATTGATATGTCCTGATACACCATATTCCTGCTGTGTCCCTGTAAAGAAATAAGTTAATGATGTTGCACCTAATTTTTGTTACACAAATTGTTTAAAGTGTATTAATGATGTAGTCAATTTTTTTTAATCTGGCACAAAAATATACAACATAACTCCACCTCTCTCAAAAAACTAACGATGCAGTAAGTGAGTGAAGAAGCAAATATAATGCCTAGTACTAATCTTCTTCGGATGAAACGCACTAAAGCTGCATACCACATGGTCAAATCTGCGTATTTGCTCTTTAAACCTGAGCTTAAACCAAAATCATGTGAAATAAATATATCAAATAATATCATTTTTATGAATGCAACTATGCCTTCTTTTTTTCTCTTATCATTTTAACAATTTTTAGGTACACAGTAGCTAACAGCACTTCATTAAAAATGTTCTGTAAAACTATAGAACATGGAGTATAGTACTGTAAAGTCTAAAACCACTCCAATTTTAGGTTTCCTTTCCTTTATACAAAGATTGACATTAGTTAATTAGCATGGCATTTTATCGAATTCATCATCACATTAACCCCAAACTCCAATATAGTGCATTAAACAATGCAAATTACAAATGCCAGCAAATGCAATGTGAAATTGTGTTTGTGAAATTTTGATTTTGTACAATTTTGTCATAATCATAAATGAAAATGACACTGACTGACAGCTGACATAAAGCCAAAGCTGCTGTGTGGCCAGCGTATCTTAACTAAAAGTTAAATTGGCGAGTCTGAAAGTTAAATTTATATTAATTACGAAAGTCAAACTTATTCACAATGATTTCTTATGTTTACACGAACACTACACATTTTATTAAAACTAGTTTTTACGGATTTTATCGCGTTTATTAACTTATTTCATATTTCCGACGCTTCAAGTAATTTACAGCATCCATGGCCACGGTCACTTATATAAAGCTTAAAAACGACCCAAAAAATAACACACTTAAAACAACAACTAGTAATTTCGTAAAGAAACACACGTAAAATTGATAATACCTATGTGTGACAAACCACCGAAGTTGTATGGGTTACATGTTATGGTACCGGTTATCGTTGTAGGGTTAAATATATAGTCCAACAGTGAGCCCAATCGATTTACCAACTTACAGATAGGCTCAACACTTAGCGAAAATACTTTCACCGCTCAGGGGACGTACAAGAGCACACACACAAAAGTTCCTACCATTTTGTCAGCGAGATTATAGACCTACTGTATGTCTGGCAGACAATGAAACTATAGTGACTTTTGATGTGCAGTCATTGTTCACATGCTTTCTTATTAAAGACTGTATATCAATTTTAAATAGAAGGCTGGAAGAAAACGGCACCAAGCCTTACATCTAGCTACTTATTGCCTTAGAAACACAAATATCTATTGTGAATGGAACATGGAGATACAGGCTCACTTGTATCTCCTATTGTCACCGTTGTTACTTCTCTTATAAAACCAAGATACTACAAGCAGTACGTAGACGATACTTTCACAATTCTACCTTTAGATAAATAACTATAATATAATTTATTGTCTAATAACTGCGTTTTTAGACAATAAATGATAAAATTCGCACCGGCCACAATCGCGCCGGCATGTCGAGCGTGTGACTGCTGTAATGCCATATGTCAGAAGTGTCCCTGACAATATTGGCTACACCTTGAGATGTGCTTTCTTCTAAACATACTTCAAGCAGTTTTCACCATCAGTCAAGTGTATTATCCCTCTGCAAGATACAAGAGTATACAAGCTTGATAGTGAATGTGGTCTTTCTTACGTAGGGGAAACTAAAAGACCAATAAAAACCTGCATAAAAGAACACATATCGCCCCTGTCACAACATTAGTTTAATAGACGAAATCCTCGCTAAAGAACACCGATTCCTTCCAAGGATGATTCGCAAGGCCACTGAGATCAAAAAACATCCTAATTTCAATAGAGAAGATGGTTAGGTGCTACCATCTTCTTTGGGACCATATCTTTATATATAAAAATTACGTATCACATTGTTTGTCCACGATGAACTCCTAAACTACTGAACTGATTTCAATGAAATTTTGCATGCTGTGGCAGCTTGATCCAAATTGAGAGATAGGATAGTTTTTATCCCAATAGATAGAGAGAGACCTTCAATTTTTTTTATTGCTAATTTCAGGAGTTTTTTTTTTAGGAAAGCAAATGGTCGTTTGGAAAGGTCAGAACAACGTCTACCTGGTCAGCTAGTAATTAATAAAATGAAATCCGACTCAAGCATACGACTGCAAGACTTTAACATTTTCACTGTCCGATTTTCAGACACAATAGTAAAACAATAGCAATGACCTATTATGTAGTACATGGGACAGTGAAAGGGTTAAGATACTATAAGTTCATATTGGTAGATCGGATCAAAAAGTAATAATTTTAATCGGAAGTTAGCCGTGGCTAATTATAACATTAGAACGTCGAACACCTCAGTGTCCCCGTGACCATGGGTGCTGTAAAGTACACGAAACGTAGGGCATATAAAATAAGTTAATATACGCGATTAAATCCAAAAAAATTAGTTTTATGTAAATTATTTCAATTGATGTACCTTAAATTATCAAAAACTAACCAGTTATTTCTGGCTGAAATAACTGAAAATAAAAGGCGTGTGATGATTTCTTTGACGATACCGACTAAAATTGCAGTAAACTAATTTCAATAATGAATGAATATAATAATATTTCAATAACTTATTGATATGTGGCTAAAACTTTTGTTACATACAAAATACGACTCATGGATGAAAAGTTACATTTCTCATCTATTAGTAAGAAATGTATGTGTCTGGCAACACTGCACTGCATATTTATTTATTTATGATTCTGTTGTTGTTAACGGCGCCTCTTCACGTTGGCCAACACACTGGCCAATGTGTTGGCCAACAACGATGGCCATCGTGTAGAGCGGGTGTTTAAGCTACGTTGGTACGTATTGGAACGATGGCCCACAAGTTGGCGCGAGATCCGTCTGGTGTCGGTTTTTTACAAAAGATCAAAGGGTTGTGGCAGAGTATTGGCCGCCGCATCTACACGTTGGCTGCACGTTCAGTTTGCTACGAGCTCCCAGAGTGAATGCACGCACCTGATTTAAATTTTATATGCACGTAATAGTGTCTACATAACGGCAGTAACAATGACCAATGAAAAAACTTTTCGCTTTATTCTATAAAGCCGAAAATTGTTTGTAAGACACAAATCTTTTAAAAAAAAATTATACACTAGGATTTCCTCCTGTATCGTGGAGGCAGTTTAGAAATATAAATTGCATAAGGACAAACATCCAGACCCGGAGAAATTATGTGCAGGCTATACAAATACTTGTTCCGTGCGGGATTCGAACCCACGGCCCCCAGGGCAGCATTGCTAAACCACTACGCCACGGAGCCGTCAAGAAATAAAATTTCTTATTTCCAATTTTTTTTTTTATAGAATAGGGGGCAAACGAGCATGCGGCTCACCTGATGGTAAGTGACTACCGCCGCCCATGAACAACCGCAACACCAGGGGAATTGCAGATGCGTTGCACGCCTTTTAGAAAGGTGTAAGCTCTTTTCTTGAAGGTTCCTAAGTCGTATCGGTTCGGAAAATTCGCTGGTGGTAATTGATTCCACAAAGAAGTTGTGCGAGGGAGAAAACTTCTTTTAAATCGCACAGTGGTGGACCGCCAATCATCCAGATGGTATGGATGGTAACGCGAGTTTTGTCGCGACGTGCGATGGTGAAATTGAGCGGCTGGAATTAGTCCGAACAATTCCTCAGAGCACTCCCCGTGATAGATGCGATAAAATCCGCAAAGGGATGCAACATCTCTACGCAGTGCCAGTGTATCGAGCCGATCGGAAAGAACTCGGTCGTCGACGATTCGAATCGCTCTGCGCGGGATGCGGTCAAGTGGAAGGAGCTGGCACTGGGGTGCCCCGGCCCAGAGATGAGAACAGTATTCCATGTGGGGCCGAACTTGAGCTTTGTAAAGTTGCAAGCGATGTGCCGGCATGAAATACTGTCTCGCTCTACTGAGCACGCCAAGCTTTTTAGAGGCCAATTTGGCCTTCCCTTCCAAGTGACCACGAAACTGCACGCTATTCGATATGTCGACGCCAAGGATTCCGATACTGGCTGAGGCAGCAAGGGGAGTGCCTTGAAACTGAGGAGATACGACAAAGGGGTTCTTTTTAGCGGTAAACGCGCAAACTTGTGTCTTCTGGGGATTGAACTGGACTAGATTTAGTCGGCCCCAATCCGATACTTTGTTAAGCAAAGACTCGACTTCAGACACAAGTTTGTCCCGGTACTCGGCGACGTTTTCCCGAGAAATATTGGCACGGCCGGTATATAAGGCATTCCCAGTGCTGTCGTCTGCATAGCAATGAATGCTACCAGTTAGCAACATATCATTGATATGCAGGAGAAACAGCGTTGGTGATAGCACGCAGCCTTATGGAACACCAGCGTTGATAGGCTTGTAATCAGAGCATGCACCGTCTACTACGACCTTGATGCTCCGATCAGCAAGGAAACTGGTGATCCATTTGCACAATTTCTCGGGAAGCCCATAGGAAGGAAGCTTCGAAAGAAGCGCCTTGTGCCAGACCTTTGATCACCCTTATCTTATACACATTCACGTTGTAGTGATTGGTGTATTCATTTATTTATTAAATATCTTAAAATCTATAATATATAATATATATTAAAATCAAATTAAAAAGTAGGATACTAAAATCATGTTTTTACTGTCTTTATTATTCCCTATTAGTTACTTTATTTCGTTAATAATACTGTAATTTTTAGCTATGGAAGAGCGAAGTCACCTGATACAGGCATTATTTTGCTTACTAGGTGACCTCGATCACTGATTATATAATGTAACTTTAATGTTGGACGAAATAAATTATTTATTATTATTATTAAGTTTGCCATATGTACTACTTTGTGCATGAAAGTGTAAATAAATAAATATATTCTACAATTATATAACAACCCTTTTTAAAAAGCCTTTGTTTAATAAAAATTTTACAACAGTTTCATAGACAGGCTTCGAATATTTTCCAGGCCTTAGTTAATTATACCTATGCCTAGGTGTGTTAATGTTTTTATAATTTACTTATCTGTATAACGTCAGTGTATAATAAAGAAATATTAAAAATTTATATTAAAAATATTAAATATTAAAAATAGTGAAAATTAAATAAAAAATAGTGGTATGCTGTGAATAAATAAACCGCAGCAGCCGTTAGCGCATCAATAATCATTTTAATAAATTCGTCCGCACATTGGCCTGAACCGAAG